AGTGGCGCTGCCTCACCCCGTCTTGCCTTCTCTCTGGGACGCAGTTCGAAATGGGGGCCTTCATGCCCAACCTGCCCTCCTCCATGAGGAAGCCCCCACCCCAGGAGAAAGCCGCTGTCACCCTGGAAGAGTTCCTGGACATCGTCCCTGAAATGAACGTGACCAGCCGGGTGCTCTCCGTCCTCTGGGTCCTGCGCAACGAGGCCTTCGACATGGTGAGGACGCAGAGTCAGCCCTCTGCCCTGAATCAGGGCGTGCAGCGTGAGCAAAGTGGGCACGTTGGTCTTTCTGGCCCTTGGGGTCAACCCTGGTCCCTCCTGCCCAGCATCCCCACGTCTCCCCAGATCTTAACTCTTGACCCCCAGCCACCTTCTGCCCATCCGCTCTGTGGCCCCTGCTGGCTCTTCTCCCCCAAAATCCTTCTCTGTTTGACTCAAGGCACTCCACCACTTTGCTAGGCGTGTTTTCCCATTGCCAGTCTCTGCCTCTCGTGGGTGGGAAGACCTGTGGAGCCCTCTAATGCCGCAGCCATTCAGCCCCCAGGAGGGGGAATCATGGCCGTTCAGTCCTGCAACCCTGCAGGCAAAACGAATGGTAGCCACTGGCCAGATGTGTGTGGGGGGAAGGCTGCCGTTCCTCCAGCGCCCGCAGACGGAAACCGGCCCTTCTGCTTCTCCTTCGGGGTTCACTTCAGACGGCGTCTGCGGTCTGAGAGCTGCCCGCTGTTGAGGACGCGGAGGAAGAGGCTCGCGGGCATTTCACCGTCTCCAGCATTTGCCCTCGTGTTCAGAGGAAGAGATTCCCCCTTTTCTCTCCCCCTTCTGCAGAGACCGCTGGGCTACTACGACGAGGAACACTTTGTGGAGGAGGCCCCGCAGCAGCTCATAAGGGCTTTCCAGGAGCAGCTTGCGTGCATCTCGAAGGCGATCGAGAGGAGGAACGAGTCCCTAACGCTGCCCTACACCTACCTCTATCCACCCAACATCGAAAACAGCACGACCATATAGGGCCCTGTACTGGCAGCCTACGCGTGTTCCTAGTCCTCAGTTTTCAACCCTGCCTGTTTTCTTCTAAAATGGGGAGACCGGAGCAGCTCCCCCGTTCCACCGGAGATCCAGGGGTGCCTCCGGGAACCCTCGGTGCAACAGAAGAGGCGGAGGAGCCATGAGCCCCCCGAAGAACCGGTCCAACTCTTCAGCCTGCAGGATGGAGGCCTCAGCCGAAGAGCCTTCCCCAACTCGGTGCACGTCAGATGTGCTGGACCTCAAATCCCATCATCCCCGGAGAGCAGAAGCTGCAGACCGCTCCCTCCCCCATGAACGCAGAGGCGACTGTTTGGGAAAGTCTGCTGTAAATCGTTCGGTGACAGGATGCCAGGGCGCGTTTGGAGCTGCAAATGCCAAGCGCTGGGGGTTTTCCCTAAGGAAATGGATCCCGTTTTAAGCAATGGGGCAGGACTTTCCCCTTAGAAGAAATGCTGAACTTCCAGTCTGTATTTTATGCTGACGTGTCCCTCTGAGGGTGACAAGATCTGATAATACAAAACCCATGTGTCACTTTGCCCTCGGGTTTCTTGTGCTGCAATCATGAGCCCTTTCGTTTTGCAGCCCTCTGGCAGTGTGGACGTTTATTGCACTCAGGGTATCTGCGGGGAGGAGGGGGTCACGAAAGTCAAGAGGGTGGTCAGCAGTGTGCAACTGGGGGAGGGGCTTCAGTCTCCATGTTGCAACCATCATCCTGAGCTTTTTGACCCCTGATGGCAAACCTGTGATATCTGCAGCCAGCCTCAGCGAGCACGCCCGGTTTGAATGGCGTGCGCTCCAGACATGCAGCGCCTCCTTCGCTCCCACCCTGAACGCTTCCTGCAGGCGCTTCGGTTCTTCCGGCTTGCTTTCCTGCCTGTAAAACAAGGCAGAGCGGCGGGGGGGTGGGGGGGATGGGGGGCGATCGGCCTCCTTTCCCGGGCGCTCCGGTGGCTTTCCCGTTCCAGTCCGCTCCCCTGGCCAGGCTTCCGTTCACATTGACACGCAACGCACCAGGCAAAATGTGTGCTTTTGCCACTCTTGAAGTGGCCTGCTCTCTGGTTTGGTCCGCCTTGTAATGAGCGAGGAGGTGGATCTGCACAGATGGGGCCTTTCCTCGTTGGCACTGAATCAGGGCACAATGCCCGGCACCTCTTTTCTCTCTCTGCCCCGTGGCATTGCCTGCATCTTGCAGCCTCTACTTGAGATGGGCAACTACAGCAAGCAATCAAGCAATCAAGCAATCCAATGTTCCCAGCCCAGGAATAAGACGGGCTTAAGTGGTCTTTAGCTGCCCTGGTCTTCCAGCAGCGCCTCCCCCTGATTCGGTCAGGTCCCCGGGTCGGCAACACGTCTCCCCAGAAGGCCACTTCGGCGTGTTCCCTGAAGGTGCAGGACACTCTGTGGATTAGGCTCCCAGCCAGGAGGGTCAGCGGTCAGACTCATCTCGGGTGGCTGACGTCGTGCTCCCCAGTCCTATTTTCCCCCACAACAACCCTGTGAGGTAGGCTGGGCTCCGATGGAGAGAGAGTGGTTCAGAGTCTCCCCGTGTCCTGATCACCACATATAAAGGTTAATTCTCACAAAGTTAAGCCTGCACACATCATGCCACTTTCAAGGAAGGGAGGGA